GTGTACTGTGCTCTATGAAACAAGGATGAAGCATTTAAAATTGTTTGAGCCTAAAACTGGAAGTGATGTAAGCACATACAGCTGGTATCACAATTCTGATGATTCATAATTTCCTTGTACTTGTTCACATGGGGCTTTCATTGCGTTCCATTAATTATAATTAGTTATGCAAGATGCCTGATAAGCAAAGAATCCAATATATATTCCTGATTTGAAGATAAACATGAATTAATGTTAATGACTGCTTGTTGACATGTGACTAGGTGAACTTGTTATGTTGGAGGAACACTACTGTCACTTTTTACATTGTCTGCAATGTATTTTTCTGCTTATGTGAATGACACTTCTGCAGTATATGCATGATATGGTTTCAGCTAGAAACATTCAGAACACAAAGAACTCGTGTGGAAACTGTATTCTGGTATGGATATACCTTTCCAGTCTGGATTTTTTTAATGGGAGTATTGAGTAGGCAAGATTGCCATTTCTTATCCTGGCAGGTGATAATGGAACCAAACCTACTGCTTCATTTAATTACAATTGCTAATAGTACATGTTACATTTGCATGGTTGAGATAACATTCTCAATTCACTACTATTTCTGTAGACCATTTTATGTTATGTATATTCACTTTAAACATTATGTACTATAGTTATGTTTACCTGATATCACCTTCAAAGTTCCTCTTTTGCAGCGATATGATCACACAAAAACTCGCGCAGAAGTTCGTGGGGGTGGAAGGAAACCGTGGCCACAAAAAGGTACTGGGAAAGCTCGTCATGGAAGCATACGTTCACCCCTGTGGCGAGGAGGCGGCATTGCTCACGGTCCTCGATCTCCACAAACCTACTTCTATATGTTACCATTCTACACCAGAGTTCATGGATTAATATCTTGCCTTTCCATAAAACTAGCACAGGTAAAATCATCGAGTGGTACAAATATTAAGAACTGAAAATTTTTACTGGAAGGGAATTTGAAATTGTGATTATAGTTATAACCGAATGTCTGAATTCTTGAAATAATATGGCATTTCAGAAACTTCTTATTTCAGGATGACCTGCACGTCGTGAATTCTCTAGAAATTCCAACAGACGATCCAAAATATATCGAGGATCTTGTAGAGAATCGCAACTGGGGACCATCTGTCCTTCTTGTGGATGAGTAAGTGCTAAATTTGTTGTTTGATAATGAATACTATTTTTGATTTTCCTTCTGTTTATTAAAGCACAAATTGTATTTCAGGATTGACATTATGCCAAGAAACATCACTGCTGCAACTGATTCCATATTACACATAAACCTGATGCCTGTTTATGGTGAGTAGTCTTTGTGTCTGCCAAATCAAGGATAAGATGAGATATATCCAGAATTTGTAGGAAAACCTAAACAGAAGAGACAGTTTGGGGGACCTGGATACAGATGGAAGTATACTATTAAATTGGATCTTAACGTAGTGTGTGAAGACGTGAACTATTCATCTGGCACAGGAAAGTGTACAGTGGCAGTAAACCTTTCAATTCTACGAAGGCAGAGAAATTCAGGACTAGCCGAATGACTATGGCCCTGCACCGTGGAATTGCTATTACAAAATAAGGATAATACCAGTCAATCTATTTTTAGTGATGACTCAGTCCCACCAAGTTTTAAATATTTCTGTCATCTGATGGCTATAAAGTAATGTAGCTAAGAGTAACTATCTTCTGCACCTAACACAATAGAATGTAACAAAATTCAATATCCCCCCTGCCACAGTTTCATACTAAAATGCACTTTATAAAGAGATGTTAATGAAATGGCCTTACATTGTCAAGGTATCAGAATATTAGGTTAAATTTAGTATGTAAAGATAGAAAGAATCATATTTTAAACAAACATTTTGTGTGGGATAATGCTTTTGCTGCTATAGATAAAATTAACATTATTTTATTCTCTCTACATTATCACATTTCCACAAGTATCATCAATTAAAAAAGGAGTTTGAAAATGTTCCAAGACTTTCGATGTAAAGCTCATCCCATCTTGGCCTGGAAATGATATGTTAAATGTTGATTTTAGTATTTTGTTGATAAACTTAATGCTTTTCCATCTACAAGTCTTATGTAAAATATTTAAAACCAAATATTCTGTTATGCTTCAAAATAAACTATTTCTTGAAGATGGCTGTCTTCTAGGTTGTCCACGCTGCCTCCATCATCAGGTCTCATCGCTCTGATGATGGGGGGGCAGTATGGACTTCTGAAATGTCCATGAAAACCTCAAATCCTGCAAACTATTATGTGGTTAAAATATAACTATGTTGTATGCTAATTAATTTTAAATCCTTGTATTTTATTCCACAGGATTGAATGTGTTCAGCATGTTGAAACACGACACTCTGGTACTCACTATGGCAGCAGTGAATCGTATTGAAGAGAAACTTCTATACCAACTAAATAGGCCCGACTTCATGGATGTTACAAAGAAGTTCATGTTAAATCAGAATGGCTAGGCCAGTAGCTTCACCTTGTCCTTTGTAAAATACGATGTGGCTTATTCAGCCTGTAATCAGTTTATACTTTAAATGGATTTATATACATCTGTATCATTAAAGAACTGCAACACCTCAAAGTATTATTATTTTATAGCCACCTTCCGGTCCTTGCGGATAAGATTAATTTAATCTGTGAAAACATCATAAAGAAGAAAAAAGCATAGACTATTAGACACTAGGAAGGAGGCTGGTCTAGAAGCGAACAAGAGAAAACGCAGTGTGTTATATGTCCCTTCACTAGAAAGAACAATAAAGTCCTAATATAAAGACAGCTAATAAATCATTTGACATAGTCAAAGTACATTCAAAGTCTTATCAAGCATATAAAAACCTTAAGATTAAAATGTATAGAAAGCTATCCATCTCATTTCACCACCAATATGTGTGCATCAGATGTAAAATTCTTATTTCTTCCTTGATGGGACAACAAAAACTACAAGTAAAACAACATAAAACATCTGAAAGGGCTGATAGCAAAGGCAAAAGTAAAGTAAAGTAAAGTTTGTCCCACTATACGCCATGTAGGCGCTTGGGGTGAGTGGAGGTATAGCTCCTCTCTTCCTTGACCCCAGCACTAGATGGGGGTGAGTGGTCAGCATCACGCCCCGGCCGGCTTTACCCCTGGGAAAGGACCCCGGTACCCATTGGATAGGAGGCTGGGTGGGCCCCAGAGCCGGTCTGGACGCAGAGGCTAGAGGAAAAATCCTCTGCCCCCGTCGGGAATCGAACCCCGGCCGTCCAGCCCGTAGCTAGTCACTATACTGACTGAGCTATCCCGGCTCATGATAGCAAAGGCACTTTGTGTAAACAAGATTCAAAAGTAATTTATTGCACATCTGGAGTACTGTCCTACAATACTTTTCTTTTAACATCAACAGAAATGCATGTCTGATTCATTAGAATATTAAAATTTACAAGTAACGCCTTCTGGCACCAGTTACAAGCAAACAAAGTAAACCACAGGATCAAGTATCAGTTTGATAAGCAGTAACAATTTACAATTTTCTGCATTGCCTATTCAGTGTCCTCGTGGATGAAGCTCTTGAAACGGGCTGAAAGATAAATGAATGCAAATACTAATTTAGCCAACGGATGAGTATTTAATGTTGCGAGAACATTTTTTTAATTACATGATCAGGTGTAATGCATTAAATTTGTCTTGTGACATAATTTGGTTCAAGATGGGTGTTTCAATAAAAGCATCCCTATTAAAATAAGTCTTTATGGTAGGCTCCTGCATGATACACAAGCCATGTTAGTACTATGAAAGATGTACTGTAGTCCTATTTTTCATTTTTATTTCTTCTTGTGCATAAACCACATCGCTCTCACCAGATGCACAAATTGACACATTATCTTCATAACATTCATCTAAAATTGCACTTATTATTGGACCTGAAATACTTTACAACCAAAGGAAGCAGCCATGTTTATTCACCAAGAAATATAAGACTGCTAACTAACTGAATAGATGGCTTACGGAACCTGAAGGTTCATCACCGAATAAACCAAAGCCCTCCACCAGACCCTGTCCTGGGCCAACCAAATCCATTCTCCTTCAACTCGTATGTCCCATAGATCCCGCCTGACATTATCCTCCCATCTACGTCTAGGTCTCCCCAGCGGTCTCTTCCCCTCAGGCTTCCTGACCAATACTCGGTGCACACCTCTTGCCCCATCCATGCACGCCACATGACCCACCCACCTCATTCTTCTTGACTTAATCACCCTGACAATATTAGGGGAGGAGTATAAATTTTTAAGCTCATCATTATGCAGTTTTCTCTATATCCCATCCTCTTCTCCTCTAGGACACAAGACTGCTTATTTAGAAAAAAATATTTCCTACTTGCATGCAGCAAATTTTAGATAAAACATTGGTAGTGAGCATCAAGGTTAGCAGAACATCCAGCAGTACAATTAGCGTCAATATCCCTCAACAGACAGCCAAGTGAATATTTTCAAGATGATGCAGACTGCAAATACCTTCAACCAATCTACAGGCAGAGTAGCGAGCAAATATACAGGTGTGGGGAACCAACCACAGCGGTTAATAAAGAAACAAGGTACTGGGGTGTTATGTGGACAGAACTGGCTCAGGATTATGCCCAGTGGTAGGCCTGAGTTTCTAAAATTTTGAATTTTTGGATTGTGCAATTGAAGGGTTAACTAGCAATTTTAATATTAAAACATGACCTACTTAAAAATTGAAAACATTTTAGGCAGAAGTGCATAAATATATATCTGAAAACAAAAGAGTTAATTTCACAATTCTTATTGTTACTGTTATTTTAATTCTTTCACCAGAGATTTAAGTTTTCTGAAAACTCTAAACTATATACTCTTTTCTGAATAAGCAATTTTTGGATATGCACTATTAAACAACCATACGTACACGAGGATGTGGGTCTTCGCCTAGCATTCTCTCTCGTATACACCATCGTAGATCAGAATGACAGCATTCACCAGGGACCTTCTGCTGCTTCCAGATGTCCTGGTAATAATGATAAAGCTTTACTGGGTCGCATCGCTTAGGTGCCTCTACTTGTTGTCCAGGTTGAATATTCCTTGGTCGTATGACTGAAGAAAAATAAGTGCTTATAAACTGTACAAATAAGGGTCAATTCACACTGGCAACATGACACTGCATGTCAATATACTGCTGTGAAAACCTCAAATCTTACAATGGTCAATTTGTCTCTACTGTATCATCATTATTATAGGAAAATGTAGGAAGTAGTTGGCGTTGGCTTTGGCTTTCAGAGGGCTGTTACGCCACGGATTATTATTATTATTATTATTGGGTTCACCTTTAGTTATGCAAAGAGACAACGGAGCATTCCAAACTCTTTATGAAGAATCAAGGACTAATACTCACATGAACGTTTTGGTTTCATGGGTTCTTGAAGATTTTCTACAGATCTTGTTTTCTGAGAATGTTTCTGTTTTGAATGATTAATTGATTTTTTCGTGTTTCCTGCCACGTTAGGGAGAGCTGTAGCGCATGGTGATACATAAGTTGTACTGGAACTGTTATCTGTAAATAAGAAACATGCAAACAAGAACGTGCATCTTTCACAAAAGATTTTAATGGATTTCTACATCCAAGGTTGATTAGATTGCTGCAGACATATTTACCTGAAGCAACCAACAAATAAAGAACAGATCAAACAAACGCAACAAGGCAGATATAATACAATATGTCAGATTAAAAAGCTAGTGAATTTTACTTCAGATAAAATTTAATGTGATGCTTACCTGGTTGTACATTATGTGGGAATGATCTTGAACAAAGTACATATTTCTGTTCCGCACGATCATGGGCTTGGTCATTTTTATGATTTTCAACATGGCTGTTTTCTTTTTCACCAGGTGATGAGGTTAAATTATAATTGCTCAACACCTCAGTTGAAGTTCCTGTGCAGGAACTTTCACTGTCTTTAGTTGATTCATTACATGTGCAGAACAAGTGCTGATCATATTTTATAAGTTTCTTCAAATCTAAATGGACAAGAAAGGAAGAATTTCATCTTGTCAAAACAGTCAATCCATTTTTGGGTCATGATTTGTTATACTAAGTAAAAACAGAATGCATTAGGGCCAGAATTCATAAAAATGGCAATTCTTCTATGTTATGTCTTTGATCAGCCCTAAAAGGATTAATATGCTAATATTCTGTACAACAAACTAACTCCTAATCTGTCTCGATATATTGTACAGTCCCTGTAAAGACTGCCATGAAAACGAAGCATACACAATGGCACATTTCTCATCATCAGCAGAATTTTGCTGTTTCTATTCAATCTTGATAGTCACCTTGTACCATTTAGGACATTTAAACCAGGCGTGTCAATCTCAATGTCTGTTAAGAGCCACTTAAAAAGAGGTGATGGTTCCACATTGACACAAACACTTTCCAGTGTGAATGTAAAAGTGAATGTTGGATATAAGAAAATTTCAGTGTGTGTTTGCAGATGAGTAAAAATGTATAACTAACCTTCGTGTTTCATTATGCCACATACTAATCTGTTACGTTTCACTGAAATTGTATTCTACAATTAACAAACTGTAAGTTTTTTAAGTGCACAAATATGAAAAGGCAACTTTTTCTTTAATACCATCTGTCTGTGCTTCTGTACACACTTCTGTCACATAAATGACAAGATTTATATTTACATGTAATATCTGAAAATCTCTTATATCTTCTACATGTGTTTTGTGACTTAATAATATGAACAGTAGTGAACATCAAATTACAACACCAACCTAAATATTTAAATTAATTCATTCACTGACAGCACAATCCTAAATACTGCACAGCTAACAAAATGTTGTAACCAAAATATATAAGCACATGAATATGAAATTTTATTGTGTTGTGTAGTAAATGACCTGCCAAATATATTGGGTAATATTTTTTGCATTATGGAGACAAAGTAATCAATGCTTGGCATAAAAGAAAACAATATGATTAGCATTAATCCAATCTATATAAAAACAATGTTACTACAAAAATACGATAATTTCTTTGCTAATTTACCTTTAATAAACTCTTTTAGTTGTTCTTCTGTTATGTTGTAATAGCCCAATCGATTAAGATGCGCTTCAACTTCTTTTGGATCCAGCTCTATGGCCATTTTCATTGAAACTATATGACACTACAACCTGTAAAAGTTAAAAACCATTACAGAATATAATAGAATTTATTTACTTTCCATAGATCATTCACAGGGTTCAACGAAAGATGTAGAACTTGTCATAGGACTTCTGCAACATTACCAAAACATGTAACCTAACATTCTTCGACGCACAAAACCAAACGAACGCACTACATAACACAATTTAATTACATCTACTTCTATGCATAATAAAGAACTTCTGGTTACTGCATGTTTGAACGAAGAAAGCAAAGTAACGTTCTATTAAAAAACGTAATTGATCAGTATAACTACCTTTTATCAGTATTTGAACTTTTTTTAACGAGCTCTAACAACCAATCCAACAGTCAAGACATATTTCCGTTATTGCTCCTTCAAGTATACCTACAGTAGCCACAACCAAGTGTTCCCAGGAATGAAAATTCTCTCGGTGAAGAGAATAAACACAGATTATAGAATAAATACCTGAACTTAACCTAACAGATAGAAAATTGTCCACAAAATATATTATTCACGTTCTTGCATGGGAGGACTACAGTAAATTATGGCAAAAAGATGTGATATCTTCCACATTGGTATTCTAAATCAGGGGTCTCAAACTCAAATCGAATGCGGGCCATACTGATAATTTTTAAATTCAAAGCACGCAATTTTAAGCGATAAAGAGGTTAAATATTTTGTATAAAACTAAACAACATTAAGAATATTCAATGATTTTTAACAATACAAATAAAATATATTGAGTTATTTTAAATGGGGTTTGCGCCTAACCAACCTTTGCACTGCGACCATTTTTGTTTCATTGCCACAGCCCTGTACCTCCCCTGAAATACATTATCCTACACAACAAAAGGATCTCCATGGAAACTGTGTGTTAAAAAGCAGTAATCATGTCCTCTTTATATGTCCTAGGTCTCACAGAATCACTGGGTCTTTGGGGAAGATTAACCTCTTTAACTAGGGTATTGTACTCAGATCTGGGCCTTTCAGGCACCCTAGATTTGGGGAGTACCATGTACCCCAGCACTGCTTCAGGTCTTCATGGTTTTAACCTTCACTTCCAAACACTTGGTCTTTGCACAATTAAGTCTCTTTGAACAGTTGCCTTCTCAGCATTCCTGAGCTGCCTAATATTGTCAGCTCCCAAGATGGTATGCCAGAACTGTTGCCTAACACCAGCCATGATCCTGAGCCAACTCCATCCATCTGCCATCCTCACAGCCCACCTCCGTAAGATCCATCTTGATGTTGATCTCCAATCACCTTCTTGGCCTGCCCAGTGGCCATTTTCCAGGAGGAATCCCTACCAAAATTCTGTATGCACCCTTTGCCTCCCCCTGCATGCTACATGCCCATCCCCACAGAGCCTCCTAGATATCACTATCTGTCCTATTCCGAGGCTTTGCTGTTGTTTTTGTAACATAAAACATTTTTACACTGAAGCCCTATGACCAACCCTTATCAGCTGTCCACGACTGCTCATTCAATATATTCGCAGCTAACTTCCATAACTGGAGGCTGTCCCTCCATTCGCAACCTGAGGGTGTACCATGTCGTGGTGACCAGGACCTACCTAATATGGATGATGATAACAATAACAACAATAACAATGACCAGGCTATACATTTTCCATTTCATTTAATACATGGGTATATCCATGTTATGAAACACTGACACTTGTTTTAAAATCTTGTGACTATCATTGAAAAATTCAAATGACAATGTAATAAAAAATCAAACCTTAAACACTAAATATGTAATATATACTTAACAATAAAAAATATACAAAAATTGCATCATTGTGAAACACATGTAACAGAAACAATACTCAGTTTATATAACTTATTACAAATGTAATAAAATATTTTTGCTGTCATGCAACATACTAAAACTGATTCAGTTTGTTGCACCACATCAAAAATTTTCTTAGAATAAATACAAATCTTCAACTGTAATATAACAAATGAATAATAAAAATGAATATATTCCCATCACAGACCTACTACGTAAGATTTTAAAGTACTTAGATAATGTTGATACTTATTGGTTAAATGAATAATGATGATGTACATAATGGTAATAAATATGATGATTACTTGTGATCTCCTTTACAGTACACTTCACTACCATATCAATGAAATCTTTTATATATCAATACATGTGTCACATACTCACTAATCAGTCTGTACTGTTTCACATGAATATATGCAAGCACTGACAATGATAATATTAAACTGTATGAAACCCATTACAAACAGGGTACCAAACATTTATTTACACCATAAACATATTATAAAATGTTTGACATTCCTCATTATACTAAATGTCATGGTGAAGTGTTTGAACTCTTGATCTGTATTCAGGTGTCCTGAAATTCAGGGAAAGTGGCTATACTGAATGAGTAATTTAATGGTTTTCCTGTCACTCCAAGCAAATGATGGGATACTACCTTAAAATAGGCCAAGACCACACCATTCCACACTCTTTTTATCATTCACACAGCCTACCATTCAACATTACACAACCTCCATAGTAAAAAAAACCTTATTTAATTACCCAATTAGTCATATTCACACTGAAACCTGAGTTGCTTAAAATGTTTTCTTTAAATAGCAATATGAAATTACTTTGACCATCAAACCAAAGTCCCATACAAACTTCAAATATGAATCTCAGATGAATTAAATAAATGTACTTCACAAAATACTATACATTTATCTATGTACATCAGAGTAATATAATTAATTAGAAGCCTGGGAAAAAACTGTAAATGACTGTTACAAGGACCCACACAGCCATTTATTCTGAAAATGATTTTATCACAAACAGAAGGGACACAAAAACACTGAAAGTCAGTGTGTAGAAATCAAATGGTAAATTCTTCATAATATTTGCTATAACACCTTCTGTTATAATAGTCTGGAAAGCATTTGCTGTTCTAAAGAACCAAAGGACAAATTGTAGAACTAAACATGATCTGTGTCTAGAGCTACCTGCCACCTCACCAGCTTTTGGCTGGAGCCATCAACTGCCATTCAGATATGGTTAGAATTAGGGGATGTCCAAATTTTCAAGCATATTAGATTTTGTCAGATGACCATGCATAATTTGATATTTTAGCTTTGGTATATTAATATTGCACTTGGTTCCTTATATAAATTATAAGGTGTACTGAAAATAATTTTATTTTTATTATTTATATGCAAATAATCCCAGCAAATGCCAGATGGATCTATCACAAATGAATGAGGTTTTATCCTTAAGAAAGTTAGAATTTTAATTACACTGTTAACATTTTGAGAAACATCAAAATATTCCCATTTCTATCACATGAAGATAGAAGTGAGCAATTAAAATATACATTTAAAAGGCTATAAATAAAAATTAATCAGTAATTTTATTTTTGTTAGCTGTTACTTCTAACAATTTGTTGCTACATGGCAAATATACTTATTCTTATAATAACATGCAATTTATAAGTGTTGATATTGGTTATTTGTGTTATAGTGCCATGTGGACTTGTTGGTACATACCAATGTTTCAGAAGAACATACTCCCCTCTGCTTCTGCCACAAAGATTGAGGCAGTATGTTCCTCTGAAACTTGGTATAAATTTATAAGTCTATATAGTGTTACAACCCAGACGACCAACAGCAACATCTATTTATGAAGTTTACTTACAAATGTCTGCATAATTATCAATTTACTTTAATGTTTTTATTTCAATCAATCAATCTTGTGACAAAGTGAATAAACAGCTCGTTTCTGGTTATGTATGTATGTCTGTCTGTGTGTAAGCGCGCGTGTGTATAAAATTTCTTGCCTTCATAATTCCCAAAGAAAAATCTGCAGACTGAGAATTGTTTGAGGTGGAAACGTAATTCCACTTTAACTGCACAACTCATTCTGCTGTTCTACAGGGCCAGTAATTAAAAAGTAGCAAAAATGTTGTGTAGCTTAGCACTAGATTGACAGAGAACCATGGGGACCTTGTGCAGACTGGATTTGAGATTTGAACATTTGGTGACAATTTATTTCAATCTGAATTTCAATGTCAAAAGTTATATGATGAGCATCCAAACTTTAACAAACATTTCTGATGCAAATGTAACTAAAAGACGTTTGTGTATGTATCTGCTTCACATTCAATGCTTAACTAGGCTAAAAAGGGAACATAAACCAAAATAACAGTACGAATAGTGCACACTATACCTCGCAGGCTAGTGCTGGCAGTTGCTTAAAATTGTTTTGTAACACTGTTCAACAAGAACAGCAGTGTTGATGTGAATCCAAACATGTATTAAGTTATGTATAACCGTGCCCAAAATTGTAAAAAAAAATCATAAATTCCAAGTCACAATCTTTGCCCCTTGAATGTTAAATCAACACTTCAACAACATTAGATATGGTTCCCAAGAGAATTGAGGTGCTCTAAGCAATGTTTGATCAGATTTGTGTATTACTCTATAGAAAATATAACCCCTTCTGATGACATTGTGTTCTATCAGACACATCTAACAAGCAGAGTGTTTTGAAATGAGAGAAATTTTTAAGAAAATAGTGCTTCATGAACTGTGAGTTTCCAGTGTTGGGAATTTTATTGTATACGAGCAAACACAAAATAGTGCTTCTTATTATTTAGATATCCTGAGAGGATTCAGAATGAACTAATTAAAGATCAGCATTTTATTGCCAACATACACACTATATCTACATACTTTGATAATATTTACAGACCACACAGTTATGCCTGTGCTCACTGCATTGCATTTTATAGAAATGACTTGCTCAAAATGTTTCCACTTCTAATACAGAATATTCATTCCTCTCAATGAGTTTTTGCATGTGCCCACCCTCCCCCAAACACACACACACACAAACATATACAACCAGGTACAAATGTACTATATTCATCAGTAGTTTAAACAACATATATATTGTTTGAACCATTAAGGTTCTGATAAAACATTTTTGTTTGATGCCTGGAGTTACATTCTTTACGCTTCTCTGGCATCTACCTGCCTGATAAGAGTGGGTCAGCAGTGCCACTTATAGAGCATTACTGACTCTGATAAACATGGCAGTAAATTCATGCTATACACTAGGCATCTAACTCGCAAACACTTGCCACTCTGAAATTTGGTTTTTGAGATCAGTGGAAGAAATGTGTCTTGTCATTTCTCAAGTTATGCCTAGTTATTCAAGGAGTTTCAACAACACTGATTACGGAGTACCATCGACATATACTCATATAAGAAAGTTCATTTAAATAAGCGGAATCATACGTTTAACTTATTCTATGCAATGCACAAGCCACCTGTCACTTAGTAACACTGGTCCTTGTGCAGTTTTTTGGTGTTTGAGATAATCATTAGAAAATATATGTCCCTCCAATTCTCAACCACTGAGGACCTTCGGTCATCTGTATACGCACACACAGAAGAATGATTGTTTAAATATAAACCAAAAGGAAAAGGATTAATCATAGATTTGCAAATCAATCCATTGGTTCATTATTATGAAAACAGCTGTGTATAAACAGGTGTATATAATATTGTTTTTTGGGCTTCCAATAACTGCAATAGATTTAAATATTTTGAAGCCTGAAATAAGTGCCCTCTTGATGTGATGTTATCCACTTTCAGACTGATCAATATGAATAGTTGTTAACAGAACATGTTATTAAATCTGGTGTAAACCCATTTTTATAAAATTATGATGTTCTTGTAATGAAAACATCACTTCCAAGTGTACTGTCGCAAATTGAAGAATAGGAAAGAAAATTTATTTTAATTTAAATGGTAACAAGGCACTACTGTGTATGAATGTTGTGTTACCAGAAATAAATACAAACTGTGCACGTTTTAAGGAAAGAAACAGTATGAAAACAATTTACAATAAATGATCCTGGCTAAACAAGTTTCACTTCCATGGCTTAATAAATTGTAATTATATCACCATATTCATTGAAGAGATCCTTTAGATACTCCAGCTCTGTGACATTCAGAAGAAAGGGTCAATGTTGTTGGTTATTTTTAACTGGACTGAGAGATTCAGACTTACTTTTTCAAAAGGCTGCCTTCTTATTACACTTTAAAGCAAGAGTAAAGAAAACATCACCATGTCAAGGAAATGCGTTTGGGAAGTGAAGTAAAACTGCCATACATCATCCACCAGAGCACTGAACAAAATCAAATAATCAGCTTTATGATCCAGCTGGTTTATCCTGGAGAAAAAACCACTGTACATCCTGGACCTGCTGCTTGGGGCTGATATGTACATTGGTCATCAAGGGAAACATTCCGATGCTCCTACTAAAAATCTGTCATAAACAAAATGATCAATAAGTTTTGTTCTCTTGATTCAGATGGAAAAATCTATCAAATTATTCTGTGTCTTGCAATAAAATGTCTATGCATCTGATTCAGTATGCATTGTTAACCAGGTCCTGTGTTTGGTGAGGTTTCAGATTCTTACGGCAGCAAGAACGAAGATTACCGTCTTCTGCAATGCTGCAATGTGCTGAATGGTAGAAGTTGACTGATGTTTCAGAGGTGCTTGATGTTTCCATCATTATGCAATCACTGCCTTAATGATGAAATGTCAAAGACTACACAGTGCAACATCCCAGAAGCCCATCATCTTCAGGACCTGTGTTTGTTTTTGAGAGATTCTAAGTGCCTGAAACCTTCTTTAGATAAACATGTTAGCTGAAAAACACTGTTTTCAGTATGGGATATATCAGAGGAGAGTGTCGTTCTTCTGGACAGATAGAATCGGAAACTAGCTACAGCAACCTCTGTGATTTGCTTTATGTATTACATTTGAAAGATAAATATTTAATCCTTCAAGGGATGAGAGGGTGTTTATCTCCAGGAAAATGTTAGAAAAATATCCTAAAATCATCTTAAAAGCCATCACTGACTCAATAATCTCATACAGGACATACTGAACAACAAAATGCATATACAAATTATATATATCTGCTTACTGCAGGTTTAATCCACAAAATAGTAGCCAAAACTACCTTGCTGCGAAACATTTTGGCATTCATTATGGAATCAACATATAGAAATGGTGACACCAGAATGAATTATTTAGTAACAATCATTCACCCCACATGAATTTCAATAAAGAATATCATTACATCTACTCCTAGTAACAGTGCAGAATAGTCTTAGTATAATATAAATTATTCAACATGAAGTTTGATATTCTTCTTCTTCTTCTTCTTCTTCCACATATTTAAACTGTAATTCACTTCTTTAAGAAATGCTTATATTAAGGATTTATACTGCTCTATTCTAGTGCAGCCATGTGAACAGTCTTTTCATTGATTCATCTCATTCTCCTTCAATGAAAGTACAATATAAGGTTGATATGAAAATTCTCTGTTGCTACTGTTATTGTACAATATTCACATATTGTATGGAGTAAACCAAATTAGATAAATTATGTTTCATTATGCTCAACTGTATACACTGTAAAATTCCATTATTGTACCAATGTGTTTAGAAGCCTCTGAAATCAGACATCAGACATTTTACCACTGACTGGCTTAAACAGAATCCAAAGAAAAGTACATGAATGGTACATTAAGTATAAACTACATTGAATCATTTCTCATAACTTCAGAATTTCAGCCTCTAAGAAAATATAATTCTACCAAACTTAGTAGGGCTATAAATTATCTATCCATGGATAATATAGAAATGGATTTGCCACACTGGCAGAATTCAGACAGACAAACAATAAAAATAACTGCATGTAATGCACTTAATAATAGGGATTATTCTAAAATATGCAACACATACGTGTCCAACACATTTGATGAACTTGGTTTATTCCATACATTTTCATAATAATCACCCACAAATACTGAGTAACAAGCAGGCATACTATGGTTACAAAATCTATAAAAGGCAACAATCCAATCATTTTGTAACTGTGGTTACATAAATTCATACATATACGAAAGCATTTTAAAAAGACACACGTACAGTTTGCTTTGTTTATACATTTAAGGTACAGCTGTATTATTAGAAGGAATGACAAAATCCAGATGTTTAACAATTTAAAGCCAAAAGGTAACCATACAGAAAGTCTAAAAAAGATGTATACACAGCATTAACTTTGGTGGTTGCTTGTTGGTATGTATACACAGCATTAACTTTGGTGGTCACTTGCTCACCACTGTCGACTGTGCAACAAAGCTAACTGTGGTCATTTCGAGCACTTACACTAGATTTTATAATTCACTAAGTGCCAATGCCGATGTTTGTAATGGTTTGGGTTATTAAAATGGCTTCACTTCACTCAATGAATGTGTGTATATATCTTTTTGGGACACTCTGTATGTACCAGCTGCTTTATCAGTAACTGCACTTTTATTTATGGGTTTTGTATGATTCTCAGTGTAAACAGAGTTTACTTCCTTAAACAGTTTTAACCAACCAATCTCTCTAATGGTGAAGTGGGCTCCAAAGGGTTAAACAACTTTTCCCAATCTGTACTGAAGGGCAGTACTTCATATGTAAGACTACAAGTAACATTATAAGCACACAGAACATAAGGTAATCGTGCACCTTCGGCACGTTCTTTTAAGGTCATAGCCAAGGGGATTCTGATGATGTAACAACTTTGATAACAAAACAAACTGGCTGCTCCTGCAAGCCTACACACCAGAGTGCAATATATTTTATGGGAAAGTAATTAGTCCTAAATGTGGCTTGTGGTAGCAAGAGTCTAAACTTATAGTAATTAATATTATTAACATAATAGTCATGATTGTAGTATTTTGTATGTTGTGTTGGCAGTAAACTACTTTTGTGTTGGTGGCAATGCTTGGCACCTATTAGAATCAGGACGATGAAGGCAAATCTAGAAAGCCAATCTTGTCACATTTCATTTCTATAATCCTGCAAAGGTGCAATCCACGGCATGAAAGACACTACACAGGTGACGACGAGTCTAACAACATGTTTTATGTTAACACCACCCACCTTAAATGGAGACTGTTTTCTCTTAATTACCTTTGGTAAATGATATTTTATAGCACATTTTATCTACATTCTCTTATTTTCCTTTTAGTGTCACATTTTCTGTAGTTTCTTTCAAAAACATTATTCAATGCTGTCACCATTTAATTTTCTATCCCACTGATTCCTTGATGAATAAAATGCATAGCCATATCCATATCTCTCCTGTCCTCTTCTACAACTATTTCTTCTGAGTTGATAACTTGGTTGACCTTGGTCTTCTTTCTTCACAACTATGAGCAGTTTTCAGTTTGTTTTGGCATATGATGGGCCTACTCAAAGCAATTCTTGACCAGAACTTTTGGTGTAAAGCCCTTCTAAGTTGGACCTAACCTCAATCTATTCACAGATTGTACCAGTATAGGTTTGTGGCAGCACTTTTTCATGCAATATGGCCATATAAGGAGAAGCTGTCATATGATTTTGGCCCATCTCTTGTAAAAGTTGTGAAGTATTGCACTCCAACTGTGAGGCACTTTGCATGTGAATATTAATACTTATTCCATAATGCTCCATGACTTTACAGGTGATGGCTGAATTTATATAACAGCACAATCTTATGAAGAACAATATCAGCTGAAAAGATGTGAATAGGAGCTGTGATTTTCTTCTGATTCAATCCTGTTTCCCAGCACTTTCTTTAACTGATACAGATCTATAACAGGTTCATCAACCATGTTCGACTACTGGAAATTAAGAAGAGGAAATTGTGCGTGTACCATAGTACCTTACTTCCAAACGACAGTAGTATGACGAGGGGTTGTATTATAAGCAGACAGGTAAGTCTACCATTCAACTAACCACTCATTCAATAGGCTTCTGTTTTCACATTCAATTTGGCCATTGGCTTGCGGCCACGATGATGTTATCAACAGATGTCTAAAACCCCAAATAGTTACGAATTTCTTTAAAGATTCTGCTGCACAGTATGAACCATTGTCAGACGCCAGGATAGCTGGTGACAAAAATCAAAATTTCCATAACTCTCACTGTCATTGCAGAGTTTGTGATATATACATCCAAATATCTACTGCAATAATCCACTATGCATAGCAAATGATGTTTCAAAATATGGAAGGATTCATCCTGTTCCTTACCCAAACAAATTAAACATTATTCTCACTCAGCACATGCAAGGGTACAATAACCACTGTGAAGTCAGCATTGAATTCAGTAAAATGCCCTTGAAGCAAAAAAAACTCCTTACGTCCAATACAGACTTCAGTATTCTTAACTTTTTGACAACTTCTAGTCATTCACATGTTGGTCTGTAACTTTCAGCGAAAATCTTACGGCCAACAAAATTCAGTCCAGTAATTCCAAACAAAGCCTTGTCAATGATTTGTTTAGCACAAATCTCAGCCTAGCATCACGTTGCTTGATCATAAATCTACATGTCACCAAAAATTATGGTAACAGCCTTACAATCCTTGAGCAATTCATGCATTACAGCTTAAGACTTCTTGGGAGTATAGTTACATGATTATGCAATTTTTGGCAACATCCACTGTGTGCAAAAGGTTAAAAAGAAAAAATCCCCATAATAAAAGAAGTCACAAAGCAAATATATTTATTTGCAGTACTTCTGATAAAGTGATATGAAAACACACCAACATCCAAACTACCACATCATTTGAAAATAATAGATTACACTTCACTTCACTACTACACTTAGTTCTGGATAATACTGCATATTATGAAACCTAACTACATATGAAGTAGTTAGGATATACCCACATTTCAAAATTCAGTTTTATAAATATTAAAGCATGTTCTTCAGCTCGAGTTAGGTTCCATTAATAATTCACACAAATACTGGCAGTGTGACACAGCAGAATCACCATGACACTATTTTTAGTAGCACCAGAATTGTCTTACGAGCTACTACAATGTCACAGAGAATGTTGTATTGGCCCTCAGTAACCACACAGCTGAAATTCCTGAATATTACTGCTACCAATCATTATGCTATGATGTATGAGCTCATAGATTCAGGCAAAAGAAGACTGTCTAGTTTCTGATTTAAAAATATTATACCAGAAAAAAAACAAATAAAATTAAGATATTGTAGATGAGTCATATTGTGATTTATTTAAATAGTATTAAAAATATATTAAAAAATGTTCCACATGTAAATCGAGTACTCGATAAGGAACGTAAAATGATATTTTAATCCTTTAAATTATCTTATATTGTGATTGACGGCCTATTTTAATATATTTTTAATACTATTTAACTAAACTTAAGGTGTTTGTATAAAACATTAATGATGTATTACACTGTACAAAAATAATGGGTTGTTAGCCTTTAATCTCTGGCATTTACATCACAGAAATAAGGAAATGCTTTTCTCCATCGCAGTTATGGTTAAATTACAGGGAGGAAGTCCTTTTGACAAGGAAAGCTGAATGTACCATGATAAAATGTACCACATGACTTGTTACCCTGGTATATGTGCACAGTTTCTGGACAAGCGGTTGACTGCAAAGTGCATTCACTTCTTCCCATCAATTTTCAAATTAGCTCTGTATTTTTCCAATACCTATCAATTAATTTATATGTGGTATATTTAATGATACTCTCAGCAGCCCACACTAGATAGTGTTGAATGATATGGTGATTATCAAAGTCTAATGATCTGGAAAGGACATAAATTAAGTAGTTGTTGCCTAATATAAGGTACTATCTTGGCATCTATCTGAAGGCACTGAACAAAACTATGGAAAACCTTAGTCAGGATAGCCACATACCCAAAGTTATACCAAATAAATACTGTCACAAGGACTCGTTACAGTGGCTCGTGATAAATTTCTGTGAGCTGTCACACTCTCCTCCTGTGGCCTTTCACTGTATGCTATCTTATACAACCTGAGGTCTATCCACACAATCACTCGAACCTTCTGGAATGTTTGGCTAGTGTGTCAAAGGAAGTCATAGTATGAAGAAAGGTCAAGAACAGTTCCAGGTTCTACATAAGGAGAGTTGCTGCAGCATACTCTAAGAAAAACTAGAAAAGCAATGGTGATAAAGCATCTCCTTGACATACCTAAAAAATTAAAAATAATACTTAACATTGTATAAAAACTACAACCTTACCTGAATGCCATTTTAGCACTTGAATGGTAGCTGGAGTTACATTAAAAATGTCAAAAGGTCCAGCGATAGCTCCAAACAGACCGGCATAAAGAAAATGTAACCGAAGTGGAAATACCATAAATTAATATCTGAATGATGATGAAACTGGATCTAAATGAACAGAAACAAACACCCCTGTAATGACTGTTTCTTCTCATTAAATTTCCTGTAAGACAATCATAAATCACAAGCGGTTCTCACCCGGCCTCACCTCGCAATACGTTAAACTTCACACATCATGACTGAGAAGTGGTTCGTCCATGTGGCGAGACACTCCCACACAAGGAAGGAGCCACAATACCGGGTGTCCTCGACCACACACTTCTGTTAGGAGCGCAAGCTTAGGTTTGTGTGGTCGAAATGGCCCTTGATGCTGAACTTGCTCAACAGCTGTTTCATCACTAAAAATGGCTTGGAACTGATCCACGAGGATTGCAGAAACAAAAATGCCGAATAGCGCGCTCTCCAGAACTAGGATCACACAGTGCAGACTGAAAACAAAGAAGGCCAATAGACATTCATTCTGTGACCATGCCTACGCTCAACCATAACCATACATAGTCCAAACCTTAATCTGACACAAGAAAAAGGAAGGATGGAGATGAGTCTTCACTAATGCAAAGTGAAAATTCAGTGCATGCAATACACAGCACAAAGCTGGCAATATTTCAGAAACTGAATGGTCTTGGACAGCCATCCCAGTACCAACTTTGGTGACCGCTTGTCAGTCACCTGCTCACCACCGTCAACTGTGCCACAAAGCTAATGGTGGTCATTTTGAACAACTACACTAGATTTTCTAATTCACCAAGTGCCAATGCTAACATATGTAATGGTTTAGTTTATTAAAATGTCTTTATTTTATTTACTGAATGTGTGTATACATATTTTTGGGAGAGCATGTATTTGTTCTTACTGCTCATTCCAAATTCATTAATTCTGACATATAAGAATTCTCGTCCTTTCTTTATTTCTCAAAAATTCGTCCATCTTCACATCTCACATTGTCCATATTACTCTATTCAGTGGTTTGGATTTTGCAACCACTTCAGTTTATCCTGCTTCCATTTATCAAGTAATTTTGAACATCCTTCATCGAAACATGTTGTAATATATAGCGCAATATTGTAACATCGAGATAACGATGAATGGCGCAGAATATTAATATCAATTTTAAATTTTAACATCAATATTTAAAAGGTTTGTGTATAGACTTGAATAATAAATATATATTTGAATTTTAAACACAAACATGACGCATCCTAAACTATAAAGTCTTCAGAACCGCATCTAAACTATAAACTTAATAAAAATATAAATATAAGCAGCTGTTAGTCCCATTCCTTGTCAGCTGTTTCAGACTACATATTCAGTATATTTGCAACTACCCTCCATATCTGGTCTCAAAAGTCTACTAAATTCTCCATACTAAAATTTTACTTGAGTAAGACTGTTTTTTGTACCTCTCAACACCAAAAACCACCAATCCCCAAACTGTATAACTTAAATGAAGTCTATAAACTATAAAACCATGGCAAGCAGAACCAAAGAGTGTGATAAGAGACAACTGAATAAATGTAATCCAGTACCCCAGTCAATTTTAGAAATCTACAAAGAATGTTAAGAATGGAATTGTGAACTCAGAACTTTGTGTCATCTGACTTTGAAAGTTGTGGTCAGATGCGTGAACATAGGACCTACAAATAAGATCTAAAATTTCTGACACTCCGATTAAGGTGTATCAGTGATATCAAATAAAAATAGCACTTAACTTACATGCGACTCTGCTTGACAGAAATCTCACTGCTACAATCAGGGCATTCAACAACCCATGAAAGCACCACTAGGACAATGGCATAAGCTGCTAGAGCACCAACATAAACAAGAAACTGGATGAAATACTTCTGGTTTTGTTCACCCACACAGTTGTTGATCCTGTAAAGGCAACATAGCTTAATTGGTTCTTTGTTTATGTAACAATGCTTAGGTTACATGCTGTAAAATGTTGGGATAATTTGGGGAAAGGGAAAAATATGGAAGAAAGGAACTATGGCCTACATGTACTATCCCAGCATTTGTCTGGAGGTACAGAGGAAAACCATGAAACATCTCCATCAAGATAGATAGTCTCCAGGCCAAGATTTGAACCAAGACCTCCTAAGAGCGATGTTTAATAAATATTACTTGGATGCACTTTGAATCATTGAATGTTCTGTGTCCAGTGGCTACTCCAGAGTTCACAAAATTCTCAGATTCAAGCATAAGGGATGATCTCAACAATAGCAAACCATAACCTGCAAATCCCTTTCATTTAAAACTTAGTATATACTTAATAATAATCCGTGGCGTAACAGCCCTCTGAGAGCCAAAGCCGACTAGCTGGCTGCTGGCCTCACGTTCACATGCCTAAGCAGAAGTGAATGATCATCCAACCAGATATAGGGTGACAGGTGGTCAGCACGACGAACCCCCAGCCATTGCTAGTTTTCAGGACCGGATTACGCTACTCATTGTAGCTCCCCAATTTCCTCACGATCCTGGGTTTGCACCGGTCCCATACACCGGTCGAAAATCTCGTGAGAAATTTCTTTCCCCGAGACTCGAACCAGCGCGCATTCCATATCATTGGTCCGAAGCATGATGCCTCAGACCGCGCGATAAAGAAGTTACGGTTAGAATAGAAAATAAATAGCGCTCAATGCTGGGCAAAGTACAGAGTGACCAAAAAGTCACAAAACCCACATTACAATATTTATTGATGGTTGCAATTCAATACAGTTGATTTGATTAATAAACAAACAATATCATTGTGACTATACAACAGTCCACGCAGGTCACGTCATGTTATAACTTTCTCATGCTAGTCTGCCAGTTGTCTTCAAACAGTCAAAGTGCAAGGATGTCTTTTTCACAAGTGCAATAAGTGTTTATTGTCAAATGCTACCTGGCATCTCATACTTACCTTACATGCCAAAATGAGTTAAGGGACACATTTCCTGATCTTCCTGTGCAAAACAAATTGGCAGTATCTCATCTGGTGAACTGTTTCCATGGCAGAGGAAATGCGCAGGACAGAAATTGTTCCGGTTGACCTTCATGGAAGCGTACATATACGACTACAAATATTTTAAAACTTCATCCATAATCCATACTGCGTACATATCATGCACAAACTTAAGGGAAAATTGCTTCAGTATTGCAGATGGTTTACAGTGTTCATTTGAGGGGGTGTAGACACAAAGACACGTTTCATAAAGTTTTCATTTTGTGATGATGCATGGTTCCACCCAAGTGGATACATTAGCAACCAAACAGCAGAATATGAAGTGCTGTACATTTCAAATGTCACTGCAGAAACACTTGACTGGCTTTCATCAGACATGAGGAAGAGAGTGGATGCATGCATTGCAGAATGCAGCCGACATCTGACTCTTAACATAACATTGTTTTCTGATTTCAATGTAATTTATTTTATGACAAATAGAATGTGTCGGGAATGGGTTGCGTGACTTTATGATCGTCCTGTACAATACAAATGTAATGTAGAAACACAGTACAAAGTGACATGTATGTTATTTTGTAGTGAAAAAATACAGTATCAGTGGTATTATTACTGAATATAAAACAAATAAAAGAAGTTTCATTATCACTCATAACCAATCTAGTGCCTGGGTTATATCTGGTTACCCATGTCTCAGTTTTGTACAATAAAATCCATGAAATATATGGAAGAGTTCATGTTCTACTATTTCCTTTCTTACATACTTCGCGGTAGATTGCCATAATATACCTGATTTCTTGTTAATAACTAAAAATTGAAAATATACAATAAACCATAAGTTACTTTCATAGGCATAAATATCATCATCATCTGTGGTGCTTCAGCCCATTTTCAGGCCACGACCTCCCAACTCAGGAGGATTCTTCGTCTTTAAAGCGTGCATTTGTGAGTAGTGAGTGACCAGCCCACTGACTCTGCACAATTTCTACTCAATCCTGATTTGACTGCCAGAGCCATCTAGCAGTAAATCAGGATACTTGGGTGAGAAATGGCCGCTGAATTTTACGTACGAAACATGTCATATCATGCTCGTAAGATTCTTTTACATGCCATAAATCTACGACGTGGGACCGCCGGCTTTACTTCCCCTCTGACCTCGGCCGGGATTGAACCTGTGAACCTTGGGTCCAGTGGTGAGCATTCTAACCACTAGTCTACCGAGAGCAACAGGCATAAATATGAAGCTTGAAAATAATACCAGTCCTTAAAATATCAATTACGCTGATTTTGTAATCTTCCTGCATTAGCAAGGACATTATTGACATAACAAACATTGATTCATGCATTGTGAACAGAGTTATGATGGGTGATGAAACGTGATAGTAGCTTTTCAACCCACATTCCAAATGTCAAGCCTTGTACCGCAAGTCACTCTCATTACTCAGGAAGCATACTTTAGTATAGACCATTCAAAAGGGAAGCTGATGCTGGAGACGTTCTTTGGGAATGTGGAAACTGGTTGCTCCGTCGTGACAAAGCAACAGTTCAAGCTCATCAGTGTCCTTTGACAGATAACGGTATCACTGTGCTTAAATTATGTCCCTATTTTCTGGCTTTAGCATCCACTGATTACTACATGTTAGAAAGCATGAAAAATCTCCAAAAAAGGATCTAGGTTCCTGTCAGAAGAGGTGAAAGGGACTGTGTGACACTTACAGCAGTTTCAGAAAAAATCCTGTGGGAGTGCTTACAGCAGTGGTACAGCCACTGGTAGAAATGTGTAACAGCAAGAAGGAACTATTTTTAAGGTGGGATGTGCTACTGCGCATGTGAGCTCACATGGTCAAAAGCTCACAAAAGTTTTGAGTCTACCATGTATTAATTGAATAAAATTTTTGGATATTATCCATCGTCTAGTAAATATAAAACGTAAAACGAGTCCGGAGATAGGGATTAGCTCTATCTAGTGGGCCCAACTGTGTAGGAACCTGAAGACGGAGATAAGAGTCCCATCTCCGAAACGTCGTTTTACGTTTTATATTTACTAGACGATGAATAATATCCAAAAATTTTATTCAATTGACTCTTCACCATCGTCAAGAAGTTTTAGATTTGCTACCATGTATTGTTCATTACTGTAATCTTGAGACTTGCAAGGAATGCAGGAAGTCTGAAGTGTCAAAGGTTGCTGCATAGCATACGCTATCTTTCCTCCTTCCTCCTTCACCCCACTTTCTCACCCCAAGAGTCTCAAGATTACAGTCGCGAACAGTACAGACTCTGTCTCAAAGAAACAAATACATAAAATATTTACAACGGTACAAATTAAATGGATATAATTCAGCTACGAACATATCACACAGACAACTGCAACATTAATTTCAGTTGTGGAGAAATGTAACATTTCTGCATAAATACAATTAAAATACAAGATTGAAAACTTATAATTTAGGGATCAAAATTCGCAGGTAAAGACATATCCTGCTTATTACTTTTCACAACTGTAAGTGCTTTACAAATTACCACAAACCAACTTAGACTAATTCTACAAAAACTTACCTACTGCCAGGTATGAATGTAGATTATTATTCAGTAAAACCAAAAACATATATTACTAATGGAACTCACCAAGGACAATGATGATCCATCCTTCGGATGCAACGATTACAGATACGGCAGTGGTGCGCCCTTGGCGGTCGGTACGTTTCACATCGGGTACATACTGTCCAATCCTCCCGTTGGAGAGATCCAGAGGAACCTACATAAATAAATTATTAATAATAAAAATATCATTAAAATTAACATATTTAAATTCTCATTTGAATACATTACAGTCATCAGGAATATATGTATACAGAATAAAGTATGTTATCAAGTTATAACCAAATTATTCTCAAGTGCATTCACAACCATGTGGAAAGCCTATTAAAATTGCTCCATCTTTCCATATGTATGAAACAATTTTAGGAACAGATAAATCTGTTTTGATTCAATGTGATAATTGAAAATTTTATGAATGCCCATTAAGCCATTTCAATTTTAATTTTGATCAGACAATTTTAATGACCACTTCACACAAGAGCATGAAATTTTTTAGGGGTGTATACCATTAAGTACTAACTACAATAAATATACAGTAATAGATGCCATGTCCATGTCACTTGATCTGCAAGGAGGAGTCTACAAAAGTTACTTCAGTTACCATAAACTGTTACGGGCCCATATATAAACACAGACTCCACATTACCTAAATTTTCTTTGATTATAAGGAATTTGAAGAGCATGAATGTTAGTCTGTAATTTATAATTCTGTCAGCCAAATGTGCCTATTAACTGTACACTGTATGCTCTTACAATACTCTTTAATCTCAATCTAAATATATATCTGCCTGTGCTAAATGAGTTGCTCGTCACAACAGTATGATGCAGCATCCTCAGGATGTGCACTCCAGATATGGCGAGAACAAGCAAATATACCGAAGAAGCAACTACACACAGCTAAAGAGCAATGGTGGAACCAATATAAAGGAGTTCTCAGACACAGTCTTCATTTTAACGCTCCTCCTCCTTGGGGAGCTGACAATATCAGTCAATCCAGGAAGCTGAGAAGGAAACCGGGAACAGGGGCTCACCGGTTGTTTTTATAAAGGTCACATCTCTGGGAGTCAGTAGTTCTGGCATACCACAACACAGAGCACGTGGTTGCAGCAAACCTGTAGACAAAGGTGACCTGCAATATGTAGCCTTCAACATAGGCAGGCCTCATCTGGCAAAGACTGAGTGTCTGGAAGTGCCAAAGTGGTACAGGAAGTTTATGGCAGTGAGGGTAAATGGAACATCCAAGTCCAGGAAGGCCCTGACCAGAGTGCCTAAGTCCGAGGACAATACAATAATTAAAGAGGTAAACCCTGAGGACATAGGGATTCTAAGAGACTAAGGACCTATATGCAGGCCAGCAGTTCTGGCAAACCACCTTGGAGAGTTGACACTATCAGGCAACCCCAAAGCTGAGAAGACAACAAATAGTAAATGGGAAATCAAAGAAATTGATTAAAAAGAGCCCTCCAACATAGGGCCTCCATTTGAAAGTTGATTCCTCTCAGCAGGGAGCCAACGGTACACCACCTCAGGCAGATGACAGTATCAGACAACCCGGGAAAGCTGAGAAGACAATGAGATTCCTCTATGCAAGACACTGTACTTCATGGGAGGTATGGGGATGTCAGCAGGTTGAAGATAATGGGGAAGCACAAAAGATGAATTAATGGTCATGGTGCAAGGGTCAGTTAGGCACCCATCCAATTCAGTCATTCAGTCACTAATGTTTGATTTACCTTTGACGGTGACAGAACCCCCAAAACGTTTGCATGTGTGAGGCTGGAGAATTCCACTTTGATAAGAGTAACCCAAGCACAGGGAATGATAAAGATAATAAACATACAAACAGACAACTGTCAGTCTTGAGAGTATGTACAACAAAACATGAATTCTGATGCAATGGAAGGGGAACCTTGAACTTCAAAATGTAAATTACCATGTGCTTGATGAGGAAGCAGAAGTTGTAAAAACAACATAGGTTCTTTCACCCTCAAATGTGAAAGAAGAAAAATAAAAGAATACAAATATACAAAAACTTAAAAATGAGAAGACATTTTACCACATCCACAGCCATTACAGACCTAACTAAACTAACTTTCTACATGGCTTAGGGAACCTGAAGGTTCATCACCAAATTAACCAAAGCCCTCCACCTGACCCTGTCCTGGGGCAGCAAAATCCAATCGCCTTTAAAGACCTAGTGATTAAAAAACAGCCTACTTGGGAACCAAACCCAGGTCATCCGCACTGCAGGTGTACATGCTACTGACTGAGGTATGATGGCAAAGTAAAGAAATAATTCTTGTACTGAACTTACACAGTAACAGTGTAGAAACTAGAAAATAAAATTGGATGAAATGTCTACATCTAATATTTAGACCAAGAAGTCAGAATAGGGTCCACTGCCATACTTTAAAATTTTGAGCCAAATTGGAGGTAATAAATGACTTGTAAGAGAAAGGGGATTGTCAAATGACTTGCTACCACCAAACAAACATCTTAAATGTGGTGAAATTCAATCTAGAACAAAAGATGACTTGATAGCAATGATCTGTAAACATAAACATAACGTGCACGTGCTGACAAATATGCACGATCCACCAGCCACAAATAGTACAAGACTGTAACCAGCACAAGAGGATACACAGATAATCCTCTCCATGGATAATTTGGCCCCAGATAATCAGTGTTGTACTGTATATGCAGGGAGTGTGATGTGAGGTTCATAGCAAACCACAGAAAATAAAAACTGTGACATATTAAGGAGTGCTGGTAGACCTTGAAACCACAAAACATCCCACCAAACAGGTACGCAAAACAAAACTTTATGTATGTATTCTATAATGTGTTCCACTGAGAGAAAACACATCAGGACCGAGGCACATAAATCCCAGTATACGATACTGAAAACGGAATCCACGGTGTGATGTTAGTCAGAATTTCATTTCCACCTTCATGCTGCACAGTAATCAGTTAAATACAGGTAGTACTATAAACAATCATACTAAACCTGAGTGAATGTCAGAGAAGTCAACTCTGTTCTGAGGCAGAGGAACAACTCCTGGGTCTGAACACACCGCTTTCAAATGAGCCATGGAAAGGAGAAAAACTATGGTATTGAAGACAACTACATGGAATGGTCCCCATAAACTGAAATCATACGCAAATCAAAACATTAAAATGGAATAATTCTTTGCAAACATGCTCTATGCTCTAAGATTCCGATGTTTGTTCATAATCATAAATGATAACAAAGTCCCATATTTTTTATCTCAACAGGTCACTACATCCTTTCTCGATGAATTACTTGAATGCCTTTAGTACGTTCAAAAAGACAAATCGTTTGCACTTTTCTTTTCATTTTATGTTTCTGCATAACCATCATTATTATCTTGGCGAAAACGTTGCTATATTTAATACTAAATCGGGTACCCTTATCACATTTTTAAAAAAATATCACAATACGATCTTCAATGCACGAGTAATTAGTAAAAATGTACAACGTAAACTCTCTACGATTAGTATATGAATACGGGCTAGCCATACTGTAAATGGTACCTGTTTTGCATTGTCTGCAAAATAATCCATCTTATTACTACGTAATCGGCGTAAAGTACAGCCACATATGTCAACAAAATACAAACAATTCCACAAGGATCTCGCACAAACGTTGACATTGTCCCACTACGACCCTGCTCCGATCCTTACTGTCATTTCAATAGTCTGGGACAGATGTTTCTGCAATTGCAATTGAGCATTGCTACCATAACGACATTGGTTCGTAAAGCTTGTTAAGCACCAAATCTACTGTATAACAAACAGTTATACTGAGGCATGTACAAATTTTAAAACAGTTTACTTTAACTGCTTGAAAAGGTATCTCTAATGTTTATGGAATTATTGGAGCATGACTAAATCTGGAAATTTGGATACTATTGGTACACCTGTACGTATTTACTATGGCAACCACGTTTGTTTACAGCGCAATGTTGGCAGACGATTACTTTGCAGGACTTAAATATTTTAAAAGTATACATGAAAATTGTATAAACAGACAAAGGTCACAGTACTATAATAAGTGAAACGCAAGCTGTACTCAAGAAAGTATATTTTGCAGGTTCATTATGTCTGATGCGAAGGGTATTGATGACGAAGATGTGCCAGAAGATAAAAAGGCAGAGCTTGTGGAAGGGAGTGGTCAACAGTCAATGGAAGAAGTAGATGAAAGAGAACAAATACAAAAAGAGGAAGGCATTTCAAAAATATTAAGTTCTGATGATTTCGTCTCAAAACCTTTCTTCAGAAAAGAGTTTACTGTGCCTGAAGATATTCTTGTCTTCCAGTATCCTTTATTTGCAGTGCTGGGTATACTGATGGCTTCTGAAAAGCGCTGTATCATAGGCGGATAAAAAAGAAACTGATTAATGGGCAAGGGATCGTCTGTTCAGAAAGAAGTAGAGCAGATTGCAATCAAGGAAGATGGCTGTCTTCTGGGTTATTGAGCCTTGTAGTCTGGTAGAAGTTTACCGACGTTTCAGAGGGCCTTGCTGCCCCCATCATCAGGGCATATCACCCTGATGATGGAGG